GTCACACCTCACTGTACACATACACGGAGGATGGGGCACACATGCACACACATGTACACACACTGTCACACCTCACTCTACACGTACATACTGTCATGCCTCGTTATACATGTTCGCAGCAAATGCGACACACATGCACACGTGTCATCATGCCTCATTGTACACATACATAGGCAGTCACGCCTCACTGTAGCAACACAGAGGTTGTAGCACACATGCACACACATGTACACACGTAATCACACCTCACCGTACACGAAGAATGCAGCACACACACGTACCCACAGTCACACCTCACTGTACATGTACAGGAAAAACAGAGCACACACCCGTGTACACACAGTCACGCTTCACTGAACACATACAGAGGATGCACACAGGTGCACGTACCCGCAGTCACACCTCACTGACACGTATGCAGCACGTGCAGCACACACAGCTGTGCTGACTGCAGAGGACACCAGGGGTGCTCACGCATAGGCACACCTGATTGTAGAGGGCGCAGATGTGCAGGGCTGTGTTCCCCGAGGCGTTCTGAGCCCCCATGTCGGCTCCATAGAACAACAGGTGCTCCAGGTGCTGGACGTGGCCAAAGCGGCAGGCCTGCGGGAGAGAGGAGGTGCTGGATGGGCCAGGACCCCCCAGCCCACAGACAGGGGCCAGGACCCCCAGCCCCAGACAGCGGCCGGGCCCCCCGCCCACAGCCCTGAGCCCACCTGGTGGATCTCCTGCCAGCCGTTCTCATCGGTGGCCCCCAGCTGGGCATGGTCGTGGAGGAGCAGCTCACAGCAGAGGGCATCCCCGCCCCCCAGGGCACTGTGGTACAGAGGCGTCAGGCCACGGCTATCCTTGTAGTCAGGAGACGCCCCCAGGTCCAGCAGGGTCTGGGGACAAGCAGCCTCAGAGTCCACGTGTGGCCCCCAGCTTACCCCCACCCACACACCCGCCAGGCCGGGGCCCTGCTGACCGTCAGGGCCGCCGCGTTCCGCTGTCGTGCGGCACAGTGCACGGCCGTCAGCCCGTCCCGGGTGCGAAAGTCCAGGTGGGCACCGCCATTTTTCAGCACCTTCAGCAGGTCCGTGGAGTTGTCCAGCTGGGCAGCAAGGCTCAGGGGGCACTCTGGGGCCAGGGCAGGGGGCAGGGGACGGCAAAGGTCACACTCTGCCCCTCCAAGGCCTGTAGCCGAGAGATCACCTCACACCCCTTCCTGCTCGGCACCTTACCTCCTGAGTCAGGGTCGTGGAAGTTGGGGTCCAGCCCCTTGTCCAGCAGGCGAGCCACCTTGTCTGTGCTACGGAGCTGGACATAGTCCATGAATTTCTTCAGGTTTGCCTGGAGCACACACCAGCCTGTCAGCTCACACCCCTGCCCGCCGTCCCGCCGCACCTGCCCGCCTCCATCCAGTCTCAGGCCACTGTCATTCAGGTCTGCCACCCACCTGTGTCACCCTCAGTCAGGTCTGCCACCTGCCCATGTCACCCCAAGCCCAGCTCAACTTGGTCCATACATCACCCAGCGCCCCCTGCAGCCCAAGCTCCAAACCCACCCACGGTCGGCCTGGGCCTAGCCAGCCAGCCCACACCAAGACCAGGTTGCCCTGGCCGTGCCCCCGAGTGAGTCCCACCCAACCTCACCACTGCGCAGACCCCCCCCCCCGCCCAGCACCCCAACCTGCCCTGCGCAGAAGAACCCAAAGTCACCCACACAGGAACCAGCTCAGCCCCGAGCCCCCCCTACATTCAGAATGGCCGTGAAGGGCCCACAAAGAGCATGGGCATTGGGGTCAGCCCCCCACGGGGGCAACGCCCAGCAGCACAGACCTCACCCCAGGAGTGACTAGCGGGAAAGCACAGAGGCAAAGAACCAGGATCCCAGAGCAAGTCAGGTCAGGAGCAACCCAGCCCCACTGGCTGCACAACCATGAGCGAGCACTTCACTTCTCTGTGACTCAGTTTTCTCTTCTGCGGAAGGGACAGTGACAGTACCTCCCAGAGAGGATTAATGGGACAACCCAGCACTGGGCCCCTCCCACGCCTGAGCCAGCATCCACACCACTGCTTGCCAACTGGTCTGCCATCCGGGCTTTTGCCAGGGCCCCGGTACACTCCATACCCAATGCCAGCCCACTCCTTTTGCCGCAGGACCCACCCGAGGATCCACTGACACCTGTCACAGGACCACCCTCACCCCAACCACAGGGCCCTCCAGCCACTCCCCGCCAAGCAACCAGCCCCTGAACGCAGGAAAAGCAGACCAAGCTGGAGCTAGAGGGATAGTGGCCAGCACCCAGCTGGGGTGGGGGATGGTAGGGTGAAGGGTGCCTCCAGAAGGGAGCCAGTAAAAGCAGTGGGTGGGGGACAGTGGCCATGTGGAGGCAGAGGAGGGACAGGACGGCCTCTGGGGTCCCCGCCCCGTGACTAACCCTTTACCTTTGTGTGAAGCTTTGCAAACTGCTTATCATCAATGAGGTTCTGGGCATAAACACGTCGCTTGTATCGAAACTGCTCAGGTAAAGAGGAAAGAGAAAAGGCGTCCACTGGCTGAGTGAGGAGGGGGCAGAGCAGCCTTCGAGGCCACCAACCCTCACCCCACACCTTCTAGTGTGGCTGCAGTGCCCCACAAACTCAGCGCACACACAGACCCACCGTCCCGCTGCACATCTTCCTGCCATCCGTACAGAACTCCACAGGAGACCTACTACACACACCTTCGACTCCTGACCACACACAGCACCCGACACACACACCCTACCGTGGTGGCCACAGAGCCGACTGCTGTAGGTAGGGCCCCGCCACGCTCAGGCACAGCAGGGGCAGAAGATGCCTGGCTCGCTGCCCCGAGCCTGGTGGCTGCCCCTCCTGTCTCATCCTCATCCCCAGGGTCACCTAGGAAATCCTACTCTTCCAAGACCCAGTTCCAGGTTCACCTTCTTAGACATCGCTTCCCTGGCATGGAACAGACCCTACCTCCTGTGCCACCATGGGAACCAGGCAACTTCAAGCTCAGCAACCATAATGCCATTTCAACCCCTGCTGTGCTTGCCCAGCACCCTGACTGTCAGGACTGTCTGATTCAGTCCGTGTATGTGCAGGGGGTCTGCACGCCTCTGTCAAGGTAAGCCAGGGAAGTTCTGCCTCCAGAAGACTTGGTGCACACAGAAACCACACTCACACCACACATCCCTCCTAGCACTCATGCCATTCACGCCCACCGCACACAGAGCCACGCTTACTGCTCGTGCACACACTGCTCACACCACTGACACTACTCACATGCACGCCCTGCTCACAGCACACACTGTTCACACACAGCTCACACCACACACTGCTCACACCACTGACACGACTCACGTGCACACGCTGCTCACAGCACAC